CTAAATTTGGGTTTTGATGGGCTAGTTTATGAAATTGGGTTGAGACTTGAATCAAATTGTTGGTGAGCTCCATATTGGGGTTTGGGCTAGATTTATGGGTTTGTCTTTGTAAATTTCATCCTTAACTTTTTAATTTCTTCGATTGAGTCCTTTCTTATTCTTTTTCTTGAACTTCTTTACAAAATTTTTTTATAACGATAAATCCAAAACGGTTCGTGAAAAATTTTGATATCTGATATATACCATTTCAGTGTTGACTCAATGCACTCCAAGAGGAGGGGTGAATTGGAGTTGGAGAATTTTCGCCTCTTTGTAACCACCAAACAAAAATTAAAGAGAGTGTGGAGAAGAAGAGCTTGCACAATGATTTTATAGAGGTTCGGTCCAACCACTTGGAGCCTAGTCCTCTACCTTGGCTTCACTCACCAAGGATTTCCTCCACACTCTCCATTAACAAAAACAATGGTGGCTTAAAGGAGCCACTCAATCCTTTACATGAAGAAGGGTGTTTCTCTCAATCCTTTACATGAAGAAGGGTGTTTCTCTCAATCTCACCCCTTTACACTTAAACCCCAAAGATCCTCTCTACAGATCACTCTTGAAGGAATCAACACACCCCCAAGATCACTCACTAATAGCACAAGAAGAGGATTATAAACAAAGATCTCTCAAAGATCAAAATCTCTAGTTAAAGTTCATGTATGTAGGTAAAGATATTCAATACAATGCTCTCTCACCCTCTTCAAATCTGTTACCAATCATATTTATAGCCCCTTGCTCGAAAATAGCCGTTTCTAGCCGTTGAGGATCATTAAATACTCTGCAGGACGCAAAGCTCGAGTTGTAGAATTGTCAGAAGAGCCAACTCTGTAAAGCCGGCTTACCATTTCTGCAGCCGGCTTTGCGGGATTCCTGCACATTCTGTTTTCTTCGAGAGCCGGCTGCAAGACTTTGAGCCGGCTTTGGAACTCCGACTTTAAATATATTAAATATTTTTCAAAAGAGTCGACCGTTGTGCATTAAATGCGCCCTCATAGTCAGCTATAAAGTTGGAGCCAGCTCTACTTCCATTTTCCGCGCGTGCCAAAACAACAGTTGAATTTCTAGCCCGTAGAGCTGGCTCAACAAAATCTATAGCCGGCTCTCTGCACTTTTGCTTCCCAAAACTGGCTGTAATTTTCTTAAATCGACTCTCTGCATATTTTTACCCTTTGAGCCCTTTTTAATGCAATCTCATTTTACTTACTTTGTAGTATATTGGTAATTTAACTACACACTTAAATAAATCAATTAATCACTCAAATATATTTTGTAATAATCAAAATTATAAGTACAATATTTAGTAACAAAACCAATATGATATTGACAACTTTGGACTTGCCCCCTATTGGAGCCTTTTTTTTTTTTTTTTTTGTAAAACTCTCGAGGAGTCTATCCCAAGTGGTTGAATAAAATAATAAAAGTTGAGATCACGTGGCATTAAAAGTTCCATAAGAAGAAGTCTAGTCCTAATGTATGTGAATCAGTAGTGTACCATGTACTAATTGATGCTATTGTTGTCCAGCACTAGGTGCCTAACAACACTACCTCAATGAAAAAAGTGATAGGACGTGAAGTCTTGAATTCAATAGCCAGGCACTAGTCTTCATCCTCAAAAATTCCTTAAGTTAAAAAACAAAATGATGCTATTATTTTTCCTCACAAGAAAAGAAGAGTGCCATTATTGGCATTCTCCTTGCTCCAAACATGTGGCCAATGTTTTGTGCAACAACTTTGCTAGGGCGTGCTTATAAACATGTTGCCAATTTGGCGGCAGCAGAGGCAGTCGCATTAAAAATAAAAATTAGTGTGTGATTATATTATTATAATTTATTTTATTTATTTTTTTATTATTTTTTATAAAATTAATAATTTTAATAATAAAAATATAAAAAATATATATACTTAATTATTTTTAAATATATCCTTATTAATTATTTGATATTAAATAATAACCACTAACTATTGTATAATAAAACTATTATGTTAATTTTATCTACTTTTTACTATCTATTACTTACTTTTTATTATCTATTATATACTATTTACTATCTATTTTTTATTATCCATAACTTATTATTATTTATTATTTACTACTCATTATCTGTTAAATTTCAACTGTTATTTAATTAGAAACTCAGTTGTTCCATATATATATATATTATATTATATTATAAGAGCTCAAGGAAAATTCAATGACCAAAATAGGGGACCATGCCCTAAGGTTAGGGCATGCAATATCACTAATTATGTACCAATTAGATTTTTAAAAAATAAAAATAAAAATAAAAATAAACACACACACACAAATCATACCATCCACAAGATGCGTCGGTGATGTCTGGAAATCAGCATCCACATACACCTCAAAGGCATTGAGAAGCGGTGGAAGACTAGACTCTGCTGTTGCATTAATTGAAAAGCTCACAAATCCATCATCTAAAATGTTCTGAGGTCCTACGCTTAGTGGTTTTAAGTATTCAAGAATAATTGGGGCTAACGTCACATCATTCAACATAATGTTAATTTCTCGTCGTTGATGTTCTGTGGTATTTACAACCTCAGCAAAATGGAAGTAGACATATAGATCCCCTGTAGGGTAATCTTCTGAATAATAATCTAATGAGTTCCAGTGATTCAGTGGTTCTGAAGCCGTTCCCAGAACTTCCATTGGAATTCCATAATTACTGTTACTAGCTTGGACATCGATGTTTGCCCTCGGTTGGATTAAATGAGCATTAGAAAAAGTGTAATGCTTCCAAACACGGTTGTAAACATCATCTTTGTATCTAAAGAAGAAGAAAATAATATAATAAAGATATTTTCAACACTACACATTTATAATAATCAATTTTTCTATTCACAATTAATATTTAATTATTTAAGAGTTAATGCGTATTTCTAAATCTACTGGAGATTAGATGCACCGCGCACCCGAATTCCCATTAGGGACAAGGTTAACAGCAATTTGCATTAAAAAGGGTTGGTGTTAAATTGGTTTTCACTACAAGAAAAATGATTTTTAGTGACAAAAATTTGTGATAAATTTTGAAATCATCACTATAACTTATCACAATTGTGACAGATCTAAAAAATTAATTACAGACACATACATATTTAATGATGAACAAAAAAATTCATCATAAAAAATATATTTCGTTCCCGAAAAATGTTCATAAA